ATATATTTTGTCAAAATTATATCTTTATTTATAAAATTAAATTCCGATTAAATAAATTTCAGGGTTATCTCGTAAAAATACAGAGTATTATCTGAATCTTTCACCATACGATCAAAGAGACGATCATGTTTCATCTAAGAATCATCACAGGAGCGTGAAGCACAAAAAGGAACATAAATCATCGAAAAAGAATAAGGTATTCTTATGTTTATATAAATAAAATTTGTAGGAAAAAAGAGGGTTATTTATATTGTGTTTAGATTGGTTAGAAATTTTTACATCTAAATATTTCCATTTCTTATTTATCTTTTAAGGAACCTGCTGCATGCGAAACGATAAACTGTAATTACATTATTCTATTTCTTTGTTTCAAAATAACAATTTCACAAGTATTCTAACAATTTTTATTTTTTTAATTTAGTGACCTTAGATGACATGAAAGATATCATAAAAACTGAGCATCGACACTCAGGTGTACCTTCTTTTAAATCATTTGATGACTTGTCACAAGAAAACCCAACTATAGAAAGGACACAATTTCCACCGAGTATAGCAGAAAATTGGACGGCTCCTGAGTCATGGGCAGTAAACTTGCCTTACGCTCATGAAATTCCGATAGAAAAAGATATTCACGTTAACCTTAATGTTGAAGATAGGGATGATTCGAATAAATTAGTATGCATATTACATCATATCTCTATATTATAAAACGTTAATATTTTATTGATTTTCTTTTCTTTTATGTAAAAGTTTTGCATTCGTATATTTCGTCCTGATGCCACCTTCGGTACTGTAAGTTGTGGATTGAACACTACTACTTCCGAATTATGCCAAATACTTGGTAAAAAATTTTTTGTTCGAGATATTTCAAAATATAATTTATATGTGATGAGGCACAGTTTAGGTAAATTAGAATTCTATTATTTCGGTAAATATTAACTTTGCGTTACTAATTATTCTTTTACTTGCTTATTAAGAACGTGTACTAGGATCTCATGAACGGCCATTACAATTACAAAAGAGATGGTTAGAACAAGCGGGATATACTTCAAATGATAATTTGGAGGATCTTGGCAGGGAGGATAACAGCTACTTAGTTCGCTTTACTTTCCGTGAAACTACTGTACCAAGATTTGAAGTATGTTTAATTAATCCTTAAAATTTTTAATAATGAATAAATTAATTGATTGATTACTATTTTTATTATTAATTAATTAGGAAGAAGGCAACTTATCTACTTTTCAAAAAGTAGATCTTCAATCTCGTAATTTACAGACAATACCTATATTTCTTTATCGACAAGCTTTTTATATCCGATCTTTAAATGTTTCACAAAATCTAATGCTTGATCTTCCTATGGATTTCATACAATCTTGCACACAGTTACGTGATCTCAACCTTTCACAAAATGACTTGGAACGTGTTCCACAATCAATTAAACAATCAGAAATGCTTTCTTTTCTTGATCTAAATTCGAACTGCTTGAAGGATTTGGAACATGGATCATTAGAAATGATTGGGGAACTAACAAATCTTCAAGTTGAAAACAATTTGTTACAGAGATTACCTGAGAAATTTTCTGCCTTTACCAAATTAAATATTTTGAATGTTGCCAACAATTCGTTCTCAGACTTTCCTCAAGTTGTTTGCACTATTGTGACGCTTTCGGAACTGGATTTGAGTTATAATAAAATAACTTCCATACCAAAAGCAATTGGAAAACTTATCAACCTTAAAAAGTTGTTCCTCATTGGAAATCAATTAACAGATAAATTGCCTGAAAGTTTTCAAAATCTAATTTCATTGCAAGAATTGGATATACGTAGAAATCAGATAACGAGTCTTGACACAATATCTTTAATTCCCAACCTTGAAATTCTCCTGATCGAATACAACAGCGTACTGACAGTGGAAATATCTTCAAAATCGTTGCAAAAACTCATTATGTCTAAAAATCAACTTACTCATTTCTCGTTGAAGGAAACAGAATCTTCTTTAATAGAACTTTCATTGGCAAATGCAAACCTTTGTACATTACAAAATGATCTGTTCGAACGTCTTTTGTCTGTTCAAAAGCTTGACCTTCGTAATAATAAGCTAACATCGATTCCAACGACAGTTGGGTTGATGACGAATTTAACACATTTAACATGTATAAGTAATACTCTTCGCACGTTGCCAAGTGAAATTTGTTCTTTAGTCTCTTTACATACATTGGACATTCATTTCAACCATCTTGTTTCTTTACCACAAGAGATTTGGCTTTGTCGAAGTTTAGCCACTTTAAACGTTAGCTCAAATCTATTAGAGCAATTTCCAGCCCCTCCAACCACTTCATCGACTGATCCTCCTCCACTCGTTCACTCACTTCGTAATCTGTATCTATGCGATAACGCTCTTACTGCTGGAATATTTAATTCCATTTCTTTATTCTCTGAACTCGAAATTTTGAATATCTCATTTAATTTTTTAGACGAAATTCCTCCAGGAAAACTTTCTAAAAATTCTCATTTAACAGAATTGTATCTTTCTGGGAATCAATTGTCATCGCTTCCAGAAGATATTGAAAAGCTAACTAATCTAAGTGTTTTACACATAAACGGCAACAGGCTGACAACATTGCCCGCAGAATTGAGTAAAATAAGAAAGCTGGTAGTTCTTGACGTAGGGAATAACTTGCTAAAATATAATATCGCGAATTGGCAATATGATTGGAATTGGAACTGGAATCTTGAACTTAAGTACCTCAATCTTTCGGGTAACAAAAGATTTGAGATAAAATATGTACACCAAAATGAAATCAACCCACTTCAAAGAAATCGGAATTTGGCAGACTTTGAAAACCTTGCTGATTTGAGAATCCTTGGCCTTATGGATATAACACTTTTAAATTTTTTGCTTCCTGAAGAAACTGATAATCGTCGTGTTCGGACGTCAGCTCCAGTAGTAAATTCTATGCGATATGGTGTGGCAGATACACTAGGAAAGTCAGATAATCTTTCAATTTGGGAATCTGTAACGCCAAAGTTTCGTGGACGTGAAGACGAGTGTATTTTTGGGCTTTTTAATGCCCGCTCCGGCTCCGATCAAGGTGTTCGAGTTACTAAGTATTTACGCGATTGTTTCGTGTTCCACTTTGAAACTGAGCTCAATAAGTTAAGAAACATTGGAGACAATGATTTGGTAGAGTCGGCTTTACGAAGGTCTTTTTTGAGTTTAAATAAAGAACTTGGTTCAAAGGTTTTCAATTCAAGTATGGAAATGACAGAAAGCGGATTTCACCACTCTTCGCTTGGTATTGATGACAATAAGTCTGGCGCCTCTGGATTAGTTGCTTATATTTCTGGGACAACATTATATGTTGCGAACGTTGGTGATACTGTGGCAGTTATCAGTCGTAATAACAAGGCATATCCAGTTGCACAATGTCCAGAAGTTTTTAGTGAAATTGAAAGAATAAGGCAAGCTGGAGGGTATATGTCACACGATTGCCTTGTCAATGGGGAACTGGATGTATCTCGGTCATTTGGACATTTTCATTTAACACCAATTATCAACGCTAATCCTGTAACAGAGGTAGTTCAACTCTCGGAACAAGACGAAATATTAATTCTTGCTACTCGAGAATTATGGAATTATGTGAACTATCAAGTTGCGGTGGATATAGTTATAACACAAAAGGAAAATCTCATGCTAGCTGCCCAAAAACTGCGAGATTTCGCCATTTCCTATGGTGCTGATCAAAATATCATGGTAATGATTATAGGGGTTGGGGATTTGTTTGATCGTCGTCTCTCTAAGCGGATAATAGGGTCCGAAAGAATAGATGATGTGGGTACAGTAAAATTTTTTGTTAGCAGAAGAAGAAGAGATGAAATATCGACACAGTTAGGAGCAGAAATTGCACCGCCGACAGGACAAGTAGCGCTAGTTTTTACTGATATAAAAAACTCTACATTTCTTTGGGAAACAAAATCAGAAGCAATGCGTTCTGCAATTAAATCTCATAATCAAATCATGCGTCGTTGTCTACGCAACATTGGTGGTTATGAAGTAAAAACTGAAGGAGATGCCTTCATGGTATCCTTTCCGACAGTAGCATCAGCTCTTTTATGGTGTCTTACTGTACAAATTGAACTTTTAAAAGCTGATTGGCCACAAGAAATTATTGATTCAGACGATGGAAAGGAAGTTTTTGATAGGCATGATAAAGACTTATTGATATATAGAGGTTTATCTGTTCGAATGGGCATACATTGGGGTAACCCAGATTGTGAAATGGATATAATAACAAAAAGAATGGATTATTTCGGACCTATGGTTAATAAAGCTGCAAGAATCTGTAATGCGGCAGAGGGTGGGCAAATTTTCGTGAGTGCTGATGTAAAATCAGAAATTGATAGTTTCATAGATGATCCCGATAGGAAAAATAGTATTGGAGGCGATGATGAAACGCAGGGGTCATCTTGTAGCGGCTTGGATAAGAATTTGAAGGAATTGAAGAAAATGGGATTCGTTATAACGAACATTGGTGAAAGAAAGCTTAAAGGACTAGAGCACGCAGAAATGCTATCATTAGTAAGTGATTGAAGTTTATGAAGCACAATTATTTATTCATCATACTTTAATGGAGAATATTTTTGTCATAGGTTTATCCGGAAAGGCTAAAAGGTAGATTAAATGAGGATTTGATGAAATCTAGAAATTCTTTAACAGTTACAGAAGTAAATATTTGATTACACACTCTTTATATATATATATATATGTATTTATATATGTTATTTTAAGTTGATTTAACATTTCGGGGTTTTTTTTTCATAACGAAGAATTATGAACCTATTGCACCCACTCGATTAGTTAGTCCATCATCTGTACGCAATCTTGGATATCTTTGTCTTCGCCTTGAACGCGTGGCATCTGGAAATGTAAGCCATCGTACTTCTCGAAATTCAAAGATAGATCATTTGACTGGATTGTTAACATTCCATGTTAAGGATAATGCTGATGATGAAGCGTTATTGAGAATAATGGAGAGCCTTATTACAAGGATTGAGGTATATATATGTTATTATGTGATGTAGTTGAATAATTATTAAAATTCTGTCTTTTAATCTTTTAGAATGCGATATCAACTTTATATCTTAATAAAGTTGGAAGGTTTGCTCGTGTTCTTGAAGAACTCGGCGATGCACTTTCACTTGATCCAGATCATATTGTTCGTGCTTTACAGATGTATGCACAAGTGACAAAGATGTCAAAATAAACACAAATATCGGATGTGCACGTTGAATTGTTGAATTCAAGGATGCCAGAATTAGCATGAAAACAAAGACATTTACTAATATTTTACTACCTAATTTTTTACTGTTGGACTTTTTAAATTATACTTTTATGTGACATGTAAACTTTGATCAGAAAATATATACGAATTTTTGGTCAGATAATTTCGTACCACAACATTTGAAATATATATATTAGTAATGTTTTAACACAATGTTATATATTTCGATTGTAATTCCGTAGAATTCTTTAAAAGAATTTTGTATTTTAGCTTTCAGGTTTTACATTAACAGGATTTAAAAATTTTTACTTGCAAAGAAAAATGAATTTTTTTTTTAATACTTATGAATTTTCTTTTTTTTTCTCTTTTTTTTTTTTTACACATTGTTTTATATTAATATACGTATTTCTAATGACAAATTGCTTTTTAAATGTAAATATAATTTTAATTTTAGCACACAATTGGTAGAACTGAGATGGATAATGTACAGTTTTTTGATAACCAGAACGAAAAAGAGATGTTACATGGAAACATTGGTCCGTTCTTAGGCTGAGAAATGATCACATCCTTGCATCTTCTCAAACCACAATAATTTTTGTGCAGGAGCATTGGACGGTGTAAGACACTAACTTTAAATAACTAGGAATCAGAAACGATGTAAGTCCGTACATAAAAATAGCTTTATTAAACTTTCTTATTTTTTATTTAATTCATAGCGATTGTCTTTATTCGTTGATTTGGTAATTTCGATGATCATTGCGAACCCTGTTGTAAAATTAAAAAAAAATAAATAAACCATTTTAAGATAGAAGCATCAAATAAATAAAATAACGAGGTAGATTGAAGAAGCGTGAACCCCTTTATCACATTTCTACATGATCACATTAAAGATGGTATTTGCATGTAAATATATAAATGTGATTATATGGATAAGGGGATCACGCTTCAAAATGAAGCATCCATTAGTTGGTAATTATTAGTTAGTTATCCAGTCGCACAGTCGTAACGTTGATGCTAGATAACCCATAGCTCGTCAGCGGAGAATCATAAGCAATGACTCATTTATAATCACTAGGTTTCCAATTACCATCCAGATAAATAATAGATACTGACTAGACTCTTGACGGTACAGTCATCAAAAATGAAAAATAAATATTTAAAGGGATGAAAAAAGATGGTTTATTAGTTCATATAATCTATGTGAGGGGATCATAATATAGAGTACGACATTAATATTAGCTAGTCTGATATATTCTTGCTATGATACGTAAAAGTCTGTGACCCCCTCTAAGAATATTACATAATATCTGTGACGACGCCCCTATCTCTCCCATAAAATTTGTTCACCCCCTGTAATTTTGGCCAATCGAATTTCAGGATTAGGTGTAACGTAAAAATTTAGGAAACAACCTTCCTCGTGATGTTTTACTACAGGCGTCTAATCCTAACCTTGGTTTTCATTTTACACGTAACTTTTTTACTTAGAAAACAAAACACGTTTGTTTTGACACCTGATTTTAAATTTTGATTGGTCAAAATTGCCGGGGTGAACAATTGTTTGTGGGAACGCCACCTAAAATTATTTTTGATAGCTAGAATATGCATGTTTTCGTACGCATAGTATTTTTTTCGAAACATTCAGTAAGAGTTATGTAAACAGAAAACTGTTATTTATACACAAAATGAATGGAATGGAAGGCTCATTAAATAGTCGTCTAGATAGTTCTCCAACAAGGTCTTCATTTGTATTTACTGAAAAAATCTTGTTTAAGCCCTGTTTTAACTCTCTATTTTTACAATTGCAGATATACCGAAATTATGCAAGGTTGTATAGTTTTAGGAGAAAAGAACGCATTTTCTGTTGATTTTGGTATAGGAAAGACATCACCATCCCAAGTTCCTCCCAAGATAACGGTTTCTCCCAAGACACCGGCCTATCTAGTCTTCTCCAGGAATATGAAAACGAACAAGGATCCTCCTCCAGTCCTCCAGGTATAGGAAAGACCATCGGACATTTCAAGAGAGCCATCAAGGAGAAGAAAAGTGTGGCCCTTGGCAATACTGACAAAAAGCTCTGAAATTATAGAAAGTCAATATTCCTGAAAGCAAAGAAAATTGGAAAGAATATTTGGACCTTTTTCTGGGAGGTGCTATAATTATGCCTTGGGACCACCAGATATTAATAAAACGACCCATACTCAGCTGACTAGGATTGAGAAAATTGGAAAAGAACATGCTATGAGTATCATGAAAGAACGAAAAAGACTCGAATTCTCTGATAAGGAAGATTGTAGCACGAGAACCAAAATTCCGCGTCAAGATCTTGATCCCTTTTTTCAGGTTAATAAATAATACTTTATATTGGGAGATTCCTTTTATTTTCTCGAATATAGTTAATTTCCTGCATCAGCAACGGCCTTATAAACATAGTACAATCGTATTTTTTTTATTGTGATTTTAAATTCAAAATATAAAATTTTTTTTATTTTCGATGTAAATTAACCAATTCCGACAAAATTTCATTTCTATATAGATATCTATTGCAAAATTCCGGTTCTCTCATCTAGCTAATGTTACAGCATATTTATTTTTTAATTTACGGCTTATGGAGTATGCAACTAGGTTATCCATTAAAACACGTATGTTGTTGCATTATTAAATCATAAGTCAACCGTGAAGAATCTTCTCCAGTATCGCCATAAAAATTTTACTGTCACGTAACTAGTGTTTCAAGCCGTGAGGTTTTTATCAGCTAGTTTAGCCAGCTGGCAAAAAAATCAGCTAAGCGGCTAGCTAATAACTAAAGCCAAATTTTTTACCTTTACAGCTGTTTTCATAATTCTTGGGATACCAAAAATTAGCCGAATGATTTTCAGCTGATCTGATGAATTTATTGTTTTGGTTTTATAGATAGGGTTGTTAAATTACTGTAATTTTATATAATTTTGTATAATTTTGTGTAGGTTTTTGTAAATGGTTTTCATGTAATTAGTTTTTTTTTTTTTTTTGATGTTAAGGTGAGATCTTGCCTATGACTTTATTTATTAATAATACTTTTACATGTACTACTACATTTTTGTATTATATATATCAAATACATCAAGCTTAGACCCGGATCCTATTGGTAATCTATGCTCTGGCCGAAACCATTACTTGTGCAATAGGTGTCCCTATCCACTACTGGCCACCAATCCAATTATCTGTGATCCAAACCTATCAGAGTGGTATATCATCATTGACCTACTCACCTGGTATTTTATCACTCTCACAAGTTCTATTTTAGTACACTTCCCCATAACAACATTTTTTGCATTAATTATATTACTTATACCCAAGCTCCCAATTTGGTAATTCTCTTTATAGGAAGGCCTTGTAGCCTAATTAGGCTACTTCTAATCTTGGTGAACTTTAGCTAGCCTGCTCAGATGAGTCCTACCAGTAGGCTTTATGCTGACTCAGGTTAAGCTTCTGTTAATAATATCTAGTTTAGTTAATATGCTTGTTATCTTATTGGATAGGTACTTCTGTATATTGATGCAAATTTACTATATTGTATTACAAGTTACTTTGTAACCTCTAGATAGCAGTTTTTTGTATTACTTTTCTTCTATAGACTAACAGATTAGGTATCATCTAGTAACTATGATATTCTAGTATCCTGATATTTTAGGTTACAAGGCCTTAGGGATATAGACTTAGTTTGGCTTGTGGTTTGTAATACTTCCAATTAATCTTGATATTCTTTGGTTTTCTTGGTATACAAGCTCTATTTGTATAATGTATTATCAGCCTGATGAATCTAGCCATTTTGAGTTATTACTGCATATTCCAAGTTTTAGCCCACTTACTCTGTCATCATAGCGTCTTTTTCTAATAAGCCAAGTGGCTTGAGGCCAGAGGTGTTTCCGATTCTAGTTGAGCCAATCCTTTTTTACAGATTGTCTATATGTTCTTCACTTTTCTTACTACTCTAGTTATATTACTGTCATATCACATTTCCAAGCAAGTATCCTACAAGTTAGATGCAGGGATGTTGGTGCTGCCTCAGTCACCTCTAATCAAGGACTGATATGTACAACCTTCGTATAACAGAACCTTCTATAACTTGGTGTTATACATAGTGCCACTATTCACGATTGGACCTCCTTCTGAGAATTTCTTTTTCTAGTTTCATACTTGTATTTGAACTTAACCACAGGGTTCTGCATTCAATTATAGCCTCCTTCTGAGTTACAGAAGCAAAAAATCCTAAGATTTTGCCTCCAGCCTGATTCAAACTGTCAACCTATTCTGTGAAGGTTTGGCAGCTTAACCACTAAGCTATAGAGCCCAAACCCTTCATATAATTAGTAAAAAGGTTAAAACTCGCAAAATTATATAAAATTACATGAAAATGTAAGATTATAAAATGTAATTTTCAACTTTAATTATAGATTTAATAAAAATTAGTACTAGTATATACTGTATGTATATACTAATTTTTATTGAATATTAACCAAATCTGCTGAAAATCATTTGGCTAATTTTTTACAGATGTTTTAGAAATTATGAAAATAATGTAAAAATTATTAGATATTTACTTTCATTTTTACTTATATTTTATATTTGATCATTTTTTTTTAGAACCTATTATTTAATTCTGCTTGACATTATCATTTTAGCATAAATTATACTATTAAAGTCTTATAATCTTAAGCTGTATTAGCCAGCAAATATATTTTTATCAGCTGGCTTAGTTAGCTAAGCTGTCTTAGCTATGACTGCTTTAGCTAGCTTGAAACACTATATATAACAATGTTGTGACACATAAAAGTTTATTTAAGTTAGAGTTAGTGCTCACTATAAAGTTAGATGTTTTTTTGTTAGAGCGCA